CTGGCTCTGCTACTGGCGATCCTGGCCGCCGGGGGAGCCCAGCCAGGTAGGTCGCGGCTTCTCGGAGGACGCGGAGCCCCCTGGGTCTGACCCCACCGACCTCTTCCGGGTCTCGCTGTCTTTGAGGGGTCTCTGCCCGCACTGCTGTTGTTCGGCTTTATTTTGCACGCTGATGGTTGCAGCCTCCTCTTCTCTCAGACCTCGAGTCCTGCTTTGGTTGTCTTTTTTCTCTGCTCTTTAAAATTAATCTGCTGTAGAACACCTTTGCTGAACCTGCCAGGTATCCTAGAGGCAAACGGATTCCTGTTATCAGTTCCAAGTTGAATGATTTCCATCTCCATCTTCGAAAATAATTAATCGAAGAATGCTGTATTCTTACAGTGCATCTATTAAGTTTATTTGTGATTTAATAAAACATTTACTGGTATATGTCTGTAGTACATAATATTTACAATGTTTGTGTGGAGTTGATAACAACTTTATGTTCTTTCTTGCACCAAAAAATGCAGGAAACTTCCTTTAAAGGCACGTTAGGATCAACCTTAAAAGATTCATTCAGTTTGTTGCATTCCGTGATGTAGCCAAGATAGGCTCTGGAGGGGCACTCTCTTCTCGGGGGGGGGGGGGTGAAGGTCCCCGAATATGTTCTTTCTTGCACCAAAAAATGCAGGAAACTTCCTTTAAAGGCACGTTAGGATCAACCTTAAAAGATTCATTCAGTTTGTTGCATTCCGTGATGTAGCCAAGATAGGCTCTGGAGGGGCACTCTCTTCTCGGGGGGGGGGGTTAAGATCCCAGTAGTGACACTGAAATCTAGAGGGCTGGCGTACGAGGCCCAAGGGGAATCTCTATAAGGTCTGCATTTGAGATGGTCACAGAAAATAAATCCTAACTCGAGAGAATCGGCTCTATATTGCCTTGTTAAAATACAATGAAAATAAAGTTCTTAAAGTCCCTCAAAAATGCCTCCTGAAGGGTTTTGCTGAGTTGCTGTGTCAATGGAAAGTGCGAGTGAAGCCATTCTCGACTTACTCAGAGACTGGAGGATTCTGTGTACTGTAGTCATTTGTTTGCTGTATTTTTGTTTTGGAAATTAGTTTTATTTGAGAACTGAACAAAGCACATTACATAAAGACAATTCTCTCTCTGTCTAGCCCAGGAGTGCTCTCCGGGGGGCCACCAGATTCTTCGGAGCCCTTACAGAAGTGTCCACTTTGACTCCATGCACCTCCAGCAGGCAGCTGCTCACGACCTCATCTGTGACCATTCCCTGTTCCCCGGATGGTATCGGTTCCTCATCTTTGACAGACCCGCTGAGATGCCAACCAAATGTGTTGAGGTACTCCGGCTCACTAAACACTGCGTGTGGCTTTCCTTAGGTGCTCTTTAATATAAAGACTGAGCCTTACAGCCAATTTATGCCCACACTGACCTAATTATGTGTTAGCTTGACTTAATTCAAAGGAGTATTCTCCTATGTTACCTAGTCTGATAAGAATACCGATAGGAATAGTCAATGTTAAGCTCCATGCAGTCCATACCCCCACCACAGCTTATATAATTTTGACCACTCTAGGACACAGTCTATCAGTAATCATTGTTTCCATCAAACAGTGCGGGTCACACACATTCTTAGGACTAAGCCTCGTAGAGCCACCTAGCTAGCAAGTAAAAGAGCCAAGTATTGAATATAAACAATCATTCTCCGGGGCTTAACTGCAAATAACCTGCAAATAGTAAATGCTATATGTTTTTTGCTTCAATTCTTGGCAGTTACTGCTGATTACCATTGTGGGTTCTAGTGGCATGAAGCCTAAGTACAAAGCACTTCCTAATGAAAGACCAAACAGAACTTAGCTTGGCTGGGAAATCTTGAAGTATTTCCTGGCCCTAGTTTGTAAGCACTGACTGCACTGGCAGCAAATTCAACTCACTGTGCTCCACTGTGGCTTCTTCTCTAACTCCACAGTTTGGGCAGCCAGTATACCTTGGTTTTTATTGTTTGTGAACATGCAAGCATTGTGTTTTTTTTTGGCACAGCAGGCTTAATTTTGTCTATTTTTTGAATTTTCATGTGTGAAATCACATCAGATATATTTTTCTACAACTTAATTTTTTTTTTTCTCTCACAAAGTTCACTCTCGGGAGCACATTGTACAAGGAATCTCATCTGGGCAAGTCTTGCTCAGTGAACTAGCCTGAGTGATTTCTTTCACTCTGAAAGCTTTGTTACACACATTTTCTCTAAAATGCTTCTAATAATGAGAACAAGAACAAATGCTTCCTGATCAAGATCCTCCTCGAATTTCTGTTGAGATTTCTAGTTATATGAATGATGATTTTCAAATTCAAGTTTCCTCTAAGTCATTGAGAGTCCCCATCCAGCTGGTAATATTTTTAGGGAATGACCATCATCTCTATTCATGACACTTTTGACCACTCAGTCTTTCAATTCAGTTCTCATTATTGGAGCCACAGCTCCATCTACATGACATAAAGAATGAGACTAAGACTATATCTCATAAAAGACCAAACCCTTTACCTCATTATCCTTAGTTACAGGATCAAAATGGTAAAGAAAGGCTTCAACCTGACATATATTTTGCAATTCATACATTTTCTGCCACCAGGGAACATTATTAACTGTGTAACTTCACTTGACTTTTCTGAGGCTTTGAGGTAGCTAATGTTTCTTCTAAAGATGGAGACAGAGGCTACGAGTTTGAGTCACATAACCAGTCAGTACACAGAAGCAAGACTTCCCCAGAAAATCCAGACAAGGCACTGTGACATTCCAGAAATATGCACAGTGTCACACTTGCCAATTATTAAAGATGCTCCCCATGACTTATGAGTTTATTCTGTATAATCATATATTGTAGTAGGTATGCTTTCATTCATCAAGGTAAATTTTTCTTTTTGTACCCTGGAGGACATGCAGCTACTCTTGAACACTCGAAGTGAGGCTATATCATACAGGATTATTTCTTAGCACAAGATTTATTTTCCTTACCATCATCCACATTTTGTGAAATGTGCAGAAACGGGAATGATTTTCCTTTTTAAGTATTAATTTAATAATTCAGAGAAAAATTCACATTTTAGTAATTAATTTTAACTTTTATGCCATTATGGCTGTCTTATTTGTCACTTTTGTCATAATTTGCTTGCAAAATTTTTTTAAAAATTAAAGTTCAAGGAAAATCACTTCTTACACAATTGTGCTCTCTTCCTTTGACTGAATGAACTACAATTGATCTAGAACCTCACACAAATGTGGATAGCAGTGTCTCTTTTCCAAGATATCAACTAAGACATGTCCTACTTTCCCATGGAGCAGTTATTTCCTGTGCCTCCCCTTCCCTCTGGAACCAAGAATATAGAGCATTCAAGTGGAGAATTAACATAATTTTCTTTTTTACTACAGGATAATACAAGTCTATTTAAATAAATGTTTACTTGTGATGCTTAAACTAATACATAGAAATTATAGAAAACTTAATAACTAAAGGACAGGAATGGAACATTTAGTCATAATTCATCCACACAGTTGTAACTATCACTAACATTTTGCTATTATTCTTTCTTCTATCACTTTCTTGTATTTATATTTTTGTTTGTTTTTTGTTTTAGAGACAGGGTCTCACTATGTAGTTGAGACTGTCCTGAAACTCACTATGTAGCCCAGGCTGGTCTCAACTCACAGCGATCCTCCTGCCTCAGCCTCTCAAGTGCTGGGATTACAGGCGTGTGTCACCATGCCCGACAATTTTCTTGACATGCTTTATTCCCAGTTACACTTATGGCATTAGTATGTTCCTGAATTATAAAGTCTGTCTCATCAGTTTTGAAAATAATATTTTGTAATAAATATATACCATATTTATTTAAGCCATTGCTGTGTATGCACACACTCAGCATTGTGATATAAAGTAATTATGAATTAACACGTGTGCATACTATCATTTTTAAAGTTTTAGTGTTAGATAATGAGTAAATTTTAGTGATTGAGTTTGCTAAGTAAACTTGAAGATAAATGTCTTTTGAGAGCTTATATAAAAGTTATGTAAAATATAATAATGCAAACTTTTAATCCTTGTAGAAAATTCCTTTTATGGTACTGAATACTCTTACCTGAATTTCTTTTGTAAATGGTATTTTTTTAGTCTTAGAGTTTTTGAATGGGTAATATGACATGGTTAAAATAAAATTAATAAATATAATGATATAACAATAATATAGCATAGTAAATATAACATTATTTATAAAAATTTACTCCTTATCTAACTCATATTTATTTTATACTTTAAAAGATATTATTTAATCATATCTATCAATCTTCGCTTTGTGATTTTTTAAAAATATGGAAATAGCAAGACTAAGAATTACAGTGTGGCTTAAGAATATTGAGCCATTGTCAGGTAAGCATGGCATTGCTTGTGTTATGACATTTACAAATTTCCATAGCACTTTGAGGGAATACTGCTAACCACCTAATGTGAAACAGAAGACTGTTGAGTGCCTTATCCAAGATCATATATTTAATAGATTCTTCCCAAATATGTACTTTTTATTTTTCTGTTTAATCTCATTTTCTATGTGGAATTGATTTTAATAATAGGCTTCAAATGTGCTTTTAACTTCATTGTTTTCCAAATTGTTAAATAATTGTTTTATCACCTGATTTTTAACAATCTACATTTGCATGGTTTTGTTGCATGTTGAATTATGCATTAATTTCTTACATATAGTATTTCCAGAAATTTTGGAATAAATTTCCAAAGTCAGTTTGTCTTTGTGGTATATCTTACAAATGTTTGGCTTGGCTTGTTTTAGAGTAAATCAACTATTTTAGTAATTTACCAGACACCATATTTCTTTAGTTTACAATAAAAATGTAACAAATAGAATAAAAACACTTACATTGAATAACGTATTAATTATGAGGTATCTACCTTTAAATTTACTATTTCTTTAACTTGCTATTCTTATATGGTAGAAGTACAAGCTAATCTTTAAAATGATTAGTACTTTTGAATTTTAAAGATTGTGTCAAAGAAAATACAATGTTGATTTAATCTGTTTGAAAATAAAGTAGGTTTTCAACTTTTGTTTTCTCTGATGCAAAAGATGAACCACTGTGGAACTCAGGCCCCTATCTGGCTGTCTCTGAGAGATACAGAAACACTGCCCCCTCCTGGGCAGACTAAGAATCTGACAGCTTGCGCTACATGGCAGTTTCTGTTTAGCCCTGGAAAAGACTGCTGTCTCTTTCAAATCCCGGTGTCTGTGAGAAACTGCGGAAATTTTTTTGTGTACTTCCTGCAACCCACTCAGGGATGTATGGGCTACTGTGCAGAAGGTAAGAAAATATTAGTAATACACATGAACTGCCATTCATGGAACTCTGTGTTTATATTTATGGTATTCTCCGGATAGGTTGTGTTGAACTAATGCAAATTTCAGTAGAGATTGTTTTACCATTATTGGTAAAATGAAGCTAAATTTCCAGTTTAAATTGGCCATGTTTGTTTGGGATTCTTGTTTTTGGGGGGTGAGGGGGCAGGGTCTCACTATGCAGTTCACACTGGCCTTGAACTCACTATGTAGCACAGACTGGCCTGAAGCTTGCCACAATTCTCCTGCCTCAGCCTCCCAAGAACTAGGATTACAGGCTTGCATTGCTATGCCTAGCCTGCAAATTCTTAAAGTGTTCAAAAATATACACTGATATTAAATAGATTTCTCACCATTTTCTCACTGAATACTGTGATTTTTAAAAAAATTCTTTAGTTTCCTCACACCCTTTATCCTCTTTTATTAAAGGATAAAGATGGTAAGTAAAAAGTATAAAAATCTGGACTGTATATCTGGATGTATATTGTATATACATCTTTCGCTCATTGACATTTAGTGAGTGTATATTTCATGCCATGAGTTACTTTATGCTTTGGGCTCACTGTTATGAAAGAGACAAATGAGATCTCTGCCCTCATGGAACTTAACTTTCTAGTGCAGTATCTCAGAAAATATATAAAAATAAACTGGATATAAGTTTCAGTGAAATAAAAAAATATAAGTAAATCCCTACTATGAAAGAATAAAATAAATATCCATGAGTCCTTACTATATAAATACATGATTAGAGAAATAGAGGAAAATACCCAAACTACACTCAACTATAGCTAGGAATTCCTTGAAAGTAGACAATGTACCCTTTACATTAAAGTGTTGTGGCTGTGTTCTTAATAAAATAGGGACTCAGAAACACTGTACTTAATAGCAATGTTTATTAGAATTAGTGGTCCAGCTTCTTAGGTGCAAGAGACTCAAAACAGAAACTATATTATGACATTTTTGTTTGCTTTATGTGTTTTGTTTTGTTGGCTTGGACTGTTTAGACAATAATGAAACTTAAAATCTATGTAGGAAGCTCAAATCCTGGTAGGAACATACTGGTCTGGATCATTGTTATCAAATGAGGCAAACATTTAATTCAGCAAACAGTAATTATTGTATCAGTAACACTTAAAATCTTTTCATCATGAAGCCATTAGATTCTCCAAACCAACAAACTACAAAGCACAGATACAACAAAACAAATACAAGAGTTATTCAGAACTTAGAATAGTTAAAATAAAAACCACTGGCAGTAGTGAAAACTGAGGCAGTAACTCAGTGGCAGAGTGCTTGCCTAGCATGTGTGAGGACCTGGGTTTAATCCCCAGCACAACACACACAAACTCACACACATGTCTTTGGTTTTGCATTTTAATAACCTACTCGGATATAATAAATATCAAATCTGAAAAATAATTTTGCTTTTCATAGCTACGCAGTTTAAACCAGCATTGTTAGAAAAAGGCATTCAACATTTCTAGCACCTTTGCCTCTTAGTGTCAGCATAAAGAATTGAAGTTTACTCACTGGTTAAGTATTTCTTCCAATTGTCGGTGGAAAATAAAAACTTTAACACTTTGGGGGGGTTATAACTAATTCTTTTTTCTTAACAACAATGCCACTTTCTATTTTTATTACTATATATTTTTTCAAATGGCTTCTAAATTTGATGTAATAATTTCATTATTAGTCAAAAATCTTTAAGCAAGTAAGGTATTATTATCTACTTTGCCTGATAACAAAGACCAGTTAAGAAAGATAATGTTCCCAGTCTGACATGGCATATGCTTGTCATGTATATAAAGTATTTGTATCAGGAAAAGCAAATAGATCAACGAAAAAAATGGGGCCCATAAATAGACTAACAAGCATATGGTTAACTGATTTTCAACACAGTAACATAGAAATATTCTGTGCATATACATGAAATATATTTCATGTGCAAAAAGGCCAACCTTTCCATACCTTTCAGCTAATTTTTTTTTTTTTTTTTTTTTTTTGGTCCTGGGGATTGAGCTCAGGACCTTCTATCTTCAAGGCAGGTAGCAGAACCACTGAGCTAAATCCCCGAATACAAAAAAAGAAACACTCTCAAGTTCTTGAAATAATTATATACCCAAATATAAAAGCTAAAATATATAACTTTTAGGAACACATTTATTATGAAAAGTATAAAACTTGTACATTCAAATATAAAAGCTAAAATATAAAACTTCAATAAAGCCAAAATATAAATATAACTTAAGGAAATATTTCTAAAATGTAAAACCAAAATTTTTTTTTTCTCATTGAGTTTATTGGTACATTTTAGGTATACAGTACAGTTACATTCATTACTGGGATCTTGTACCTCTACATGACAGGTCTTGCTTCTCATTTTTTCCCCTTGTCCCTACGCTCCCTTCACCCCTCCTCCCCTCCCCATTTACAAACACTTTATTGCCATTTTTGCATTTTCTCATATTTTTTTCTTTTCCCTTATTAGCTTTCCCCTACCCTTCCAACTTTCCCTACACCTTTAGCCCCTTTCTTCCTATTTCACCTTGTCCATTATATCATTAGGATCTTATGTACTATTATAGTTTTTCACACCAGAGAAACAATTTGGTATTTACACATGTGTGACTTATTTATTTCACTTAGGAGTATATCCTCAATATGTATCCATTTTCCTATGAATGAACCTAATTTCTCATTCTTTGTGGCTGAGTAGTATTCCATTATAGAAATTATCCAGTTTCCAACTGATGGGCAAATGGGCTATTTCCAAGTTTTAGCTATTACACACTGTGCCACTATAAACACTGGTGCACATATACCACTGTGATATGATTCTTCTAATTCTTTTGGAAAGATACCAGGCAGTGCGATGGCTGGGTCAAATGGAACCTCTAACCCCAGCTCTTTGAGGTATCTCCATATTGATTTCCACAGTGGTTGCACCAGTCTGCACTCCCACCAACAATGGAGAAGGGTTCCTTTCTCCCCACAACCCTGCCAACATTGTTATTGTGTGATTTCTTGATAGCAGCCATTCTTTGTGGGGTGAGGTGGAATCTCAGTGTTGTTTTCATCTGCATTTCTCGAATGACCAATGATGTGGAACATTTTTTCATATATTTAATTGCTGTTTTTACTTCTTTATCTGAGAAATGTCTGTTCATTTCAGATGCCTATTTTTGAATCAGGTCTTTATATTTGGGGGGGCTGGTTGTTTTGAGTTTTTTATATATTTTTGATAGTAGTCCTTTGTCTGAGGAGCAGCTGGTAAATTTTTTTTCCCACATTGCATTTTGTCTCTTAGTTCTGTTGATGGTTTCTTTTGCAGTGCAGTAAAACCAAATTGTTACCCATAAAAATATGAATTATACTCTTATCTAATTGTGGAATAAAGTGCTACAAATATTCATAATCAAGTTTTGGTGTGAAGTTTTCATGTCTTTTGAGTAAAGGCCAAAAAGTATGATTTCTGTATTATGCGTATATTTAATTGTCTATGAAATTTCTAAATGGTCTTTCAAAGTGAGCATGACATATTACATTTTCAGTCTCCACACGAGTCCCTACTGCCTTGACATTGTCGATATGTTTCAATATTTAATAATGCAGATTCAGATTTAGAATGTGGGATGCGAAATCTATGAATATGTTGAAATATAGGCCCTGTCCTCTCCGGTTCATCCTTAAAAGGAAAACATTTATTATGAAAAAGAAACCAACAGAGTGTACAACTAAGAAAGTCTCTATCCAATATTAAAATATACTTAAAGGAATTTTACTTTGAATCTATGTATTTTGATATCTTCTGCCCAGTTGAATAAATTTAAAAACTTTAACCTTTTGCAGCTATTTCTGATACAAAATTACACTCTTGTGGCCCTGAAGAAATAGAAATCGGAGGTGACTGTATTGGTAATTATAGCATTTTCTTTTTAAATATTGTATTTATAAATTAGTGATTTTCTTCTTAAAGAATGTGCACATATATATATATAT